GTACCCCAATATTTCCCCTGGAAGCCAAGGGAACTCCCACCTGTAAAGTAAGAACTTCGAATAGAGATTTATAAAGAAGATGTGACGTACATGAAGGCAGTTAGCTTTCTAGGCGCTAGTTGTTCTAAAATGAGTCTGGCTGCGAGGCCAAAGCTCTTGGGAAAGCATCCATCTGTTCGGATTGGAGTGCTTGCGATTCTGTGACCGATCCTTTCAGGTACATCAATTATAAATCGAAGATCCCTTACCAAGCTCAGGGAGCGTGCTCGGCCCAATCGAGAATGACATTGGAAAAAGTTCTTAATAAGTAAGAGAGCATTTTCTGGTGCTATTGGGATGTGCAAGCATTCGAACAAGACGGGCGCTGTTATATCATTTAATCCTCGAGAAACAGCCGACAGTGCCCTTATTTCCTGCTGATCGAGCTATAATGCAAGTTAACTAAGTACAATAGCAGGACTGTGGTGAGTTAGTTACCATGGCAATTATCCTCTTTAAGACTGACGGCGGTAGACGCTCTAACATACTGGCTGTTAAGCGTAAAATATGAAAGATGAATGTGGCGGTATCGGCTCGCGTTATCCGTAAAAGCGCGCTAGCATTGCGGTTGAGCATGGAGCTCTAGGATGCGCATATGACTTTACGTACCTTACATATATGCTGCAGACATCAAAATTTTGTCTGTAGCTAGGTACCCCTTCCTCAATTTTAAGCACCGGGATTTACCATACTACCCTTACTCATTTGTATCGGCTAAAGAACTACCATCATAAGTAGAAGTAAGAACATCTAAGAGAATAACCTCACATAATAGTGTTTTAATTCGTTATCAAGTGCAACTCTCTCGTGGCCCGTGTTGATGGAATATTGTATCGACGTTTTGTGCAGGTCTTGTTGACGTTCAACATAGCTCCCATTTTTTCAGTATACCGGGTACGTATAAAGCTCAGCGGAGGTGTTTTCAACTTTGTTGGTGAAGCGAATATGAAACTATTTTCTGATCTATTATTTTTCTTCCGTTTCGAAAGCCTTCTCTCTTTTACATTTTCTTTCCTTCCCTTTCCCCCTTTCTTTGGCCCAAATCCGCAACTTCTCTAATAGGAGATACAGTACTATACAACAGAGTATTTCTTGTTGATCACTGTGACAGGGAGCATTCTAATCAGCTTATTTAATAATAAAGTTATGTCAACGATATCAATGGGGATAAACAAAACAGTGCCATCCATACACTATCCCAGTGCCAAATGGAATCGCCCCGCAATGCGGTTTTCTGGAAAAGCTCTAATCAATTTAAACCTGGATCATAAAAAGCGATCGGGCGCCGTGTCCATTCATTCGTTAAACGCTCTTAGATGATTTCTAACATCAGTTCCCGCAATATGCTCTCTAATATTATTGTCAAGCCCTAGCTACTAAGCCACGTTAAACCATCAAAAATTCATGCAAAACTTATACAATAGCCGTTAACTTAACTAGATGAAGGTTACGACATTAGTTAGTTGCGCCCTTAATTTACGTAACTCGTATAATTGCGCATAATTATTTATGTTTTAGGTTGAAGAAGTATCTTGGTTTGGGAATGACATTGTAGAGCGTATTGTGGGAAGCGATGTCGAAAAAAATCTGCAGATATGTAGAACTATAATGACGGAAGAAAGATTGCGATGTTCAATATACACTGTAGCCACACCTATGCTGAACTAACGTAAACTCGCCATCATTTCGGCATTCAGGGAGCTGCATCATAGCTTCCTCGTATTCAGTCTGGAATAAATCATAATCCAGCCAATTGTTCTCGCTTGATGCTTCCTTGAATATTATAGAAGCAACAGGCGAAATTGTTCCACCTCTCGAAATATAATCCAGGCAAATCTGTGGGAACTCCTCTGTGTATATAGCCTTCTTAACATTTTCTTCAGTAGGAATAGTGTTGCAACTCAAACATGCTGCGATGAACCCGGAGATACCAGCAAAACCTTCCCTCATAGCTCTACGCTGGGCCAGCTCCAGTTGCAGCTCGGGAGATGCGAATATCAAATTCTCTGCATTTAACCGAGTCCAGGCTTCCCCTTCCTCAATATTATCTCGAAGGAAGCACCACCAACGGTTTGCATGCCATTGCAAAAACATGCGCATTCGAGGACTTAAGAATCCTGCTATGCATTCACCGCAAGAGCATTTAGAACGGGAGTAAGGCTTTCCAAGACTCGAGTGGATTGTGTATTCAGCCGATGTCAGCGGTGAAGAAACAGAGACCTCGCGACAGCCAGATAAAACTTCAAAATGTTCGACTGTTCCTTGGTCCTCCAGTATGACGTTTTCTTCCATGACTTTTTCATATGTCCAAAGGCCTGGTGATTCGACAAAGCATAGGCTTCAAAGAATGGAAAATAACAATGCTGACCAAGTAGAGTTAGTACCCAACAAAGATTCGAGTATCTTGTCAAAGAAGGAACTTACAACGGAAATATGTAGTTTTTTCCAAAGAGGACGGAGGCTGTCTTATGAAAGGGACGAAATTTAGCAAGAGGAAAGTGATTAGACGTTTATGAACCCTTTCTTTTATCACCAGTAACTAGAGGAGGATACGACACAACGAGATGCTCCGAGAGTTTTTCTATACTTAATGTTATCCTGACTGGCCCCATGAACCGTTCCGCCGCAAAGAGAATTGAACTATCATTCGTCAGTCAATGTGTTTCGATGAGCAATATATGAGTATACGAACATGTCAGCCACGTGGGCAATCACTCCTACTGAACATTAGGGTTGTTCAGTCTCAGTCATCTGAACCTATATTTAGTTTGCAGTGCACTAATTAATTAACATAGGTAAGTGATGTCCAACAAGACGATTTCGTATGATTTTTCGCCGGATACACTACCCATTAGTGCATACAATAATAATAATGCCCGTGACTACCATCAACTTTTCCTGAAGTTGCAATAGTTATGATGAGATGAATCCTCTTCTGCAGTACAATTACAGTATGCTTAGTCCGTCGTCTTGGGAGCCCCTCATTAAAGGGGGCGACGTTTGTGTAATGCGAAATAAAAAGAGTGGGTATAGAAGGGTTAATATATTAGTAGGCTTGATCTGGACTAGTGGCTATTGCTCGTCTAGTTCTGTTTGATGCCCTGGTATGTGGCGTCTGTTACTAACTATTGCTTTGGACAACCACCTGGAAACAGCGCCACAAATATACGATACGAGAAATTGATCTTTGTCTTCTTCTTCTTCTTCTTCTTTTTTTTTTTTTCCATCAGGAACAGCGGCGACTAAAACATTATCTTCGCAAATCTCTCAGTACAAATCATATCACACTGCTAGTTCATTGGTTACTATGATCGGGAACATCTCGTGGAGCTGTCTCTGCTGCAAATCCAGCGGTTATCGCAAATGGAAATCAGAGATTTGGTTCCATGGCCCTGGTACAGCGCTTGAAGTAGCGATCATCTATACTCTGCGCCTCTTTCTACCGGCTAAACGTCGAATCAGGATATATACATTATGTGAAGAATGCAGCGAGATTGAAGGGTTACTTACTGAAGAGGAACAACTACACTATATCTATCAATTAGCCAACGATACAGATCTATCAGCAGTAAAACTTGGATGGAGACGACAAGAATGGGTATTTTATTATCCCATCTCGGAATGCTACAAGATAATGGCAAATGATGTCCAGCTCCATATAATCAACTCAGCGGCGATTCGTGTTGCATAAGAGCGTTTGTCAATCACTTAGGGCGTGGTCAAATATTGATAGTGTGCAGTGGTTTGGCATCTCTGATCTATAGTTACCGATTTGTTGCTGTTCCTTTTTCCAATTTTCTTTGTCATATACATAATATTCATTCGTTTTCTTTTACCATCAGAATGCCAAGAATATTAATATACATTGAGCTGCGGAAATCATCTTGCCCCTCTTCATTCCACTTTAAGATGGTCTTGGCATAGGAGCCAAACCAATAATGGTTCTAAAGAATCTATTAGTAATCCAGTAGCTAGTTAAGGATATACATTCGCGTATGTAATAGTTTGCATAGAGTGAATTTGTTTCGCGGGACTATGTACAGCCCTTCTCGGAATCGGTTGGACTCACATGCCTCAATCTTACGTTGTTGATCAAATAAACTTTGAGAATAATTGTAGCAAATTTTGTCTCTGTGCCGGAGCAAAATATGAAACTACACTCAATTACACATGGGCTGGGGCTCACAATCCAGCTAATGGCAAGGGCCAGGGAAAAATACACTACTACCATCGATGTCCTTCCAATGCAAACGTAGCAAATTACTTAGGTGCATCCAACAGAAATGCCTTCGCAGGAAGAGATCCCTTGCCAATAACGAAAGGCCCTCATATTCTGGTGTGACGTATGAGGAGAGAATCAAACAATGGCCACGTCTGTGGAGGCTTTCTATAAGGTATCAAGACATCTTTTAGCTGCCATGAGGGTTACTGAGATAATTTTCTCTTACCATCACTCAAATGTGGGACATATGACTCTTGGACTCCCAGGTGGGCCCAAAATTGTACCGAGTAAGTATAAGGACCCCGATCGGATTCAACATAGCTAGCTGACACGGTGGAATTAAATAACACAGACCCCCCCCTCCTAAAACGTGTTTCTAATTGACCAGTTGATACAGAAATATTAATGCAGGATGTCCAAATCTAAAGGGAGTGGAAAATGTAGCAGACAAGCGATTCACAGCTGGCGTGACTAAACTATTGAGAAGGTTTGAAGGCATGGTAGAAGGGGTTGCATTTCAGCTAGTCATTACTTATGTTATATACTTTCTTTACCATCCTCATGGTTTTGACTACTCAGCTTATAGATGGCTAGAATTAGGGTAGCTTTGGAAAGACAATATATATACTAAGCTAAATTTCTAAAGAAATTGAATCTGAGTTGTGGTCTCCATGAATTCTTGATTTCATATCTTCCTATAATACATCGGTATACATATAAGAATTTTGAACTGTTAAATATGGCGCCTACTAAGCCAGCTACCCTTGCGTATGCAAAACTAGTGGAAGTCGGGCTTATCCAACATATAGGGCCGAATAAACAGGAGGGGAGTCTGCCTGCAGCAACCAAGGACGGAACCCAGAAACTTACTGACCCTCAGAGAAAAAAATTGATGACACAGTTGAATGAGCTAGTCCAATGGGTGCAGCAGGCTGCAGGCTCCAATGTTCTTGATATTCCAGGTTATAAAGGAAGTCATGAAGCAGCGAAAGAGTTCTTGCTCGACGTTCTGAAAGTAGCAGAAGGCGAAAATATTGACGGTGCGGCTACGGCTATGGGAAGTAAGTTTGTTACAGTATACAATTTAAAAATTATGTGAGCTGACAATCACCCAGAGGTCGAATCTGCAAGTACGACCCCCAGCCGGGGAGACACTCCAGCGGCAGACCCTCCAGCGGCAAACCCATCAGCGGCAGACCCTCCAGCGGCAAACCCTCCAGCGGCAGACCCTCCAGCGGCAGACCCTCCAGCAAAGAGAATTCAGCGTCGCCGTTATAACCCTAAGGGTAGGAAGGCAAAAGCTGAATCAACCATTGAAGGAGTAGAACCTGAGAATTTCTCGTGGACAACGGGCGACCCACATGAATGGCCATGGCCTACGTACGAGCTGCCCAACGGTGGTGCCCTCATGGCTGAGAAAACCACTAATAGGATGGATTCAGATAAAAATCCTATAAGCTACTATCTAGTAGAATTAAGAGTGGAAGTCGAAGGTCTGGGGGTACTCTATCAACACAAGCTGGTTAGGTATAGCGACTACCCTGGAGAAATCGATGCTTGGAAGGAGGCAGCTGGTGAGGAAAGATGCAAATTCGCGGCCACGGACAAACCTGACTCTAAAGAAAAGCTGCGGAATGGCAAATCCTATGAATTCGAGAGACTAGATTTCATTGCGTCTCTGACGCCAGGAAGCAAGGATCCAACAAAGGGGTCTCAAAAGAGGCCAGAAACCGAGTGTATCGTTGCGGTTAAAGGGCACGAAAAACCCATATTCTTAACTATGGGAGAGTTCTTCCGGATGGTTGGTAAGAGAAAAGCAGAGAGTTTGATTATCTTTGTTTGCAACAGAGACGGGATGTCTTTGCCAGGCAAAACCGAAGCAAGAAGGATATCGTATATGAATCCGGCATGCCCAGATAATACGGAGAGCCTGGAATTCCAGGAAAAAAATAAACCGATCCCAGCACAAGCTGTAATTCAACAGTCGGAGACAGCAGTTCCTGATGAGCACCTGAAACGAACCGTGAGGGAAATGTTGGCCGTCGAGAAGCAAAGGGTGGATGTACGGTTTCAGAAGATCGAGAGCGACGTCTACGGAGTCAAGAGCACCCTTCACGCACACGGAGGCTATTTACAGAGTATTCTTAGCCTACTACAAGAGAATCTGCCAAATAAAAACCCAGACACTCAACCTCGAGATACTATTCCTGTTGGAAGAAAACTGATGGATGTGCTTCAAGGTTCGGGAAACAGTCGACAATCGGAAAGACAGCAAACCCTACCACCCTACACCTCTCCGAGTCCAGAGGTAGCCCAGCAGCAAGTACAGCGTTCCATTGAGGTATGAGCTTTGTGGTTCTGGTCTGGATGACCAGCAAGCTTTCTTGTTGCATGCGACCCGATATAATGTTCCGCTACAACACCATAAGCTAAAACTAGGGAGGAGATGTCCTTATTTCCTACAGGAATATGCTAGAGGTTGAATACGTTTCTATGCATTCCAGATTTCTATTCATTCTTAGTGTTTTGAGTTTTAAGTGCTGTATCGCCATCGAACGCTCTGCCTCTAATTTTCATATCTATCATTCCATTATTCTCATTTTCCCTCCAAATTGCAAACCATCTGGAAAATAAAATACCTATAATAGATAAAAATGTTTTATTTACGTCATGCGATGCTTGCCTGGTAACTTGGCTAGAGTATAGCGTAGTTTGGAGGTTTTTTTTGATACACCTAGTGTGTGGAAATTGAACGCAGGTTTCGCGGTACATAGCTCATTTATGTACTGCACTTAGCAAAGGTCAGACGTGCTGTGGCCTAAAACATAAAATCTTCGATCCTAAACCCAAGGTCATGCTGTAACTGTCCCTGCTTAAAATGTTGGACCCTCCTCTTGTACAGCCCTGAAGTGCTGAGGGAACACTATCGGTGAGCCCAAGGATCTGTCATGTCGTTCTATAGACGAAATTCCAGTGCAAATTGCAGATGCACTAGCAAGTAATGAGCCCTCCGCGGAGGATACGTCTGCTTGTAGCCAACCATCTTTGATCCGATGGCTGGTCAAAAGTAATAGGGACCCAGGACTTAGACTAATCGTGTCGCAATGGTAGTATATGTTCATATTGCGGAGCAGTCTGTTTTCACTAAGCCGGGATATTATCTTGTATAGCAGAATATTCAAGACCAGCAAATCCTGTGTGACTCGACTGTCATAAGGCACTCTAACTTTTGCTTTAACGTAAGATGGGGTCGCGTCGTGGGCCTCTAGAGGCTCAAATATAAAATCGGAGAATGCTTCAGCACCAGTCATCAGACTAGTAAGGCGACGGAATGGCACATCAATAGGTGTGCTGTCTTTTGCGACGTGGGACATGCTTTCTGGTAACAGTCGGGCAGATCTTCGGAAGGTTCAATGGATTAATAGATTATTCAGCTGGAGACTTGCATTGTAAGATTATTCAAATCTAAAAGGCCAGGCTTTTAGTAATTGCGAAGTCATCTCAAAAGGAATTTCCAAACGTCTTAAGAACCACCAAGCTCAGGCTTGTTACAGCCTGAGTCCAATTGGTGTCATCCACACTCTTTCAATGATGGCCTTAACTGTAAATGCGCTAAACTATAATAGGCTGCTACATCGGAGGCCCCAACCATGCAAATGTTATAATTGTGCCAAGGTCACAAGAAAGCTAACTTTATATGTGCTAGTTTATCTCCACTGTGGGCTTCCAGTGTTTGAATTACACCAGTTCCGACCATAACTGTTCCAGTTGATCTGCTCAGCCAAATTCGAACCGGCTACTAGTGGCTTGCAACATATGACGAGCAGCATCACTTTTAGAGCGATGAGGAACATGAATGTGGAGCGGTGGAGATGGTGGAATGGTTGTCCATGTATCAATAGATTGTCCGCGACTGAACTAGCTGCGTCCAAGAGCTACGACGCAAAATTGGAAAAGCACTCAACAACATTTCAGATATGCTGGGAGAATCTGACTACAGTTAGGTATGTAGACTGAAAGATGCCCTCAGAATAGTCTTTCCAAGACGCGAGCCACAGGGGCTGGGAAATAGAACACCAGGAACCGGCCACCACGGGCCTCGACCGGCTCTACGATCGTTAGGAAAATAACAGTTTACTGTAAATAGATACAAAGATAGAGTATAGATAGTGGCACCTTCGCATATCAGCATATGAATTAATAACGAGTCTATACTGAACAACATGTGGATTGAAATTTGGGGAGGAATAAATATCGGTTGGTCGTTTGAACAATCATTTCATTACGCAACAATATTGTTCATGAACAGTATTACAGTTTAGGATTCTTTGTAATGTGCATCCGTCAATTCTGTTTGTGCTTAAATATATTCAGACATACTGAAGTGTGCACTGCACGTTGGATAGACAGTGGAATTGTCACCTTGCTGGAGTATCTTTCAAATCCTAATGTGTTCACTGTAGCGGCAAGGTCTATCAGAAATCGTGGTCCTTGGTAGCTGTCATCTTATAGTATCTCAGCCGCACCTCGCATTATAGGTCTTTGTATGCACATCGTAGCTTTAATAGACTTAATTTAACTAACTACAAGGAGTATTCAGGCCATGCAATTGGTGTCATGCTCAATAATACATAGCACTATCACACGCAGAAGACCATCAATATGTGGAGGGTCTTTCTCGAGCAATAGATGAACAAAGAAAACGCACTAAGTCAGAGAAGGTCGTTGATAACGTTTCTTCTAAAGCTAAGCTACTCGTAAATAAATTGATGTTGTCACTAGCTAAAATGTGTCATGACCAAAATAACTCGCCATGGGGAGGCAAAGCCTTGCATAGAGAGGTCCGTCACAGGGTGTAGACCTGTAAAGGTGGACGGTCTGGTTTTCACACCTGTATATCATATAAAAGCTTAAGTTTAGCCCGAATTACTAGAAATTTGGTTCCTAATTTCGATTCTTATGAACACTTGATGGGAATACACGTATAAGGAGACTGCATACATTGCTATCTACTATCCTAACATGTCATGGGCACTATCCAAGGTGCCGCATATAAATAATATTTTGGGTGATTGGCCAGTATATGCAGAGATGCTAGCTCAGTAGCACAGATAAGGAATTATACGTTTCAATCGATAAAGGCTTTTGCAATGTCTACCTGTTTCCATAGCGTCCAGGTATGAACCGACAGGATTCTACCGTCTGGAATCGTCTGATATGGGCCAACCATCGGCCCTTGCTACTGACAACCAACGCCGCACAATCGATCTCAGAAGAATCGGTGCATGTTGAAGAGATTGACACAACCCGAGGAACTCATTCCTTTGTAACACCATTCGATGGTCTTCAATCTGTCCTATCACCAGTCGTATTATATTATCCTCGTTCATCTCCAACCTCGCCGTATCGCATTGGGTTTGATCCTGAGGGAAATATACTTCACCGTTCATTGGTGCACTGAAAAGCAAGTCGATCGAATTAAGGAATTCTTTTGCCTCCCAGCCCTTCTTTATGGCGCCTTCGTACTTGAACAAGATCACCTCCTTCAAGGGCGAGGATAGCTTCCAGAGTCTGGCAAGGCTATACATAGACGCATGTACTGAAAGTTCATTGATCTCTCCTGTAATCATAATCAATACTTTATGTTTCAACGTATGCTTCATGTGTCTTGCCTGAACAGCCTGAAAACGGGCAGCGCTTGTCAGAGTATGTGCCCAGGTAAATAAGTTCCAGTAACTTCCAGACAGTGCCGATATCTCCGTACTCCAGCTCGTAACGAAGCTGACCCGTAACTTGGAAGCATCGCCGAAAGCGTTCTTGGAAATATGAACTCTCTGATTCCAAAATTATGGTATGGACTGGGAATTCCAAATCCTTCACAACGATGAATGCATCTGCACCTTGTAAGGTTCGCCATAGCTTCTCCCTGTAGGGATAAGAAATAGATCGCAATATTTCCATGTCAGAAAACCTTCTTCATGCCACGTGTGATTGAACTCTGACTGAAACTTGCAAGAGGGTCCGTAAAAGTCGTATACGGTATAGTATAATGTATACCACGAGCTCACGTAGACTTAGCAGAAGTGGAGTTAAGGAAGTATAGAGTTCTTATGTTGCGACCATGGAAGATTGGTGTCACTGTTACTATCATTTGCTCCTTCCCAGAGGTTAGGGCCAAGCTAGTCGTGCTTCTTCATGACTTGCAAGTCCCACTTTTCCCTGTCTACGATACCCAGGGATTCTGCACAGATCATACGGAATCCCTAGGTTGTGAGCAATTTCTCTTGGGCTCTGAAAAATGCGGGTGCTGACGATTTTCCTCGAAATCAGAGGACCACCGTTTGTTTACCACTTCAACTCCTTGTTGGGGTGAGATTCTCGATATCTTGAGGACAATTACTGTGGATTATATTGCCGTAGTGAAGTACATTGAAATTACAACCTCAAACACTCCGAGTTTGAATATTCTTCTAGGCTAGGGGGTACCATACGTTGGACCAGCAGCCATGATTTCCAGTTCAACAGTGATACTGACCAACACGAACTGCCGGTATATATCAGTGCTTATAGATAAACTGAGGGGGTAATGTAAACCTCAACGTCCACTGTTGGACCAAGTATCATTCTATGTTGAACTCTAACGCCTCAATTTGGGAAGGTCCTCCGTAAGGGGTAAACGATTTCATGGCATAATGTAGGCAGCAAAAAAGTTGTCGAGGATACCAAACCCAATACAAGTGTACAAAGGAAGCGAACTTTGATTTCGTAAGTTCCTTCGTTGTGGATATCTAAAATATGTTCATTGTGTTTGGCGACCAACTAGTTGAACATCATACAGTACGTGGGCTTCTCCTACATGATAAACACATCGTACAAAATATCTAACGTCCTATATGTGAGTCTCTAGTTTGCTGTTCAGCTTGACTTGAACTACTCATTTAACGTTTTACATTGTAAATCAATCAATATGCCCACACAATTTGTTGCTTTACTGCCTAAACTATCGAGTTCAGATGTCAGATTTGGTCTCAAGCGTAGCGGCCACGCTCATAGTAACGATTTTGGATGGAACCTAGTCTTTCACGGGAGAGCCGCATTTAGGACAGTAAGCCCCACTGTTAATTTCGGAAGAACTACTATAATTGAACGAGTTCAGATCTCTTATGTTATAGTCAATAATAGTTAAACTGCTCCTAGTGTTCCTTGTTGCTACAAATTTCTTCCAGCAAAACTTGTGGTATGTTGAAATCTTACCTAGTTTCTGAGGGCTAATCTCTAATAATGTAGCTTTATTACTCACAGCAGCCAGTCACTATCAGCATTCTCACCAGTTCTTGCAGACGGCTT